GTGGCTTGATCGACCACGGTCCCGTTTTGGGAATAACGCACGACTACTTCGGAATGACCTGAGTCCCTTCTATAATGGTTGTTTTTTTTCGTCGACATCAACTAGTTCCCCCTTCGGTCCCCTATTTCATGCGTTCTTCCCTCCCCAGGTAGGTCGGGTCCTGTGCGTGAAGAGGTAGGCGTAGGTTTCGCTGTGTTAGGTTGGTTTAAGCGCTTCCGTCTTCCCCCTCTTTCTTTTTCCTTGCCCTTTCAGGGTTTGCTCGCTCCGGACCAGGTGTGTTGGTGTTGGTGTTTGCTCTTAAAGAGCGTTCCCCTCTTCTTTTGCGTTCCCCTCCTCGGGTCCCGGTTAAGTAATCTTTCATCTCATTTTCACTCTCATCTCAGTCTCATCCCCCTTTCATTCTCATTTTCGCCTCATTTGCCAGGACACTACCCTGCCAAAGGCAGGGTGTGTGTGTGTGTGTGCAACATCTGAATAGATGTAAAACCTCTCCTTTTTTCCTTTTTCTTTCCTTTTTGCAAGGGGCCTGAGGCTTCTCAACAGGACTCAGGCCAACGAAGACGCCTGTTGAGAAGTGTGAAATCATTCTGGGACGCCAGAATGACGTACCTGCCATCTGTTTTCCGTTTTTCACTGAATGTCTTCATGTTCATCGTATACCACTTCGAGGAGATCTTCTTTAGGTCATTGTTTCTAATCCAATTGCATGTGAGGGGATTCAGTTCCCAACAGATCACTTCAATGATCCATTTCTTGTCTAGTGTGATTTCCATTTTGGCACCGACATGGTGCCATGGAGCCATTTGAGGCATCCCTTTTTAGGGAGAATGAGGACGGACCTGACTTCCGAATTAACACATTTTAACCTGGTAATTCGTTTAAGTAACGTGAAACAGTTGGCCGTACTGTTGTCAGCCTTTTGGTGAGATCCGTCTGCCTCCGCCGTCCTTGTGAACCCTCGGAAATCCTTAACTTTGCTCAAGCATCGCTGTTCTGAACAGCCAGAAACACGGTCTTTTACAGTGACAGAGCGACTGCCCATGTTGGACCATTACATGTCAGGCTGAGGCTACATGTTTTCAGGTGCGGTCTACTTTCTTTTGATGGTTCTCTGGTGAAGTCAAAAAGGTTGTGCACTTAAGTTGGAACTTGAACAGCCGTTTATGCCCATGTGGCTTGATCGACCACGGTCCCGGTTGGGAGTAACGCACGCCTACTTAGGACTGAACTGAATCCCTTTAATGTTAATTTGTTGTTTCACTTTTCGTCACCAACTCGTCCCCCATTCGGTCCCTAATTCTTCCCCCGTGCCCCTCGGTAATGTGTTGTGGGGTTCACGTGTGTGCTCTGTATTGGTTAGGTCCGTCTCGCCGTGTAGGTTGGTTCTGGAGGTCCGTTTGTCCCCTCCTTTCTGCGCTGTTTTGGCCTTGGTCCGTCGTTTGTGTCCGCTTTTTTCTTCCTCTTGCCTTTCAGGGTTGACCCGGTTCCGGCCGGGTGTGTGCGTGCGTGCAACATCTGAATAGATGTAAAACCTCTCCTTTTTTCCTTTTTCTTTCCTTTTTGCAAGGGGCCTGAGGCTTCTCAACAGGACTCAGGCCAACGAAGACGCCTGTTGAGAAGTGTGAAATCATTCTGGGACGCCAGAATGACGTACCTGCCATCTGTTTTCCGTTTTTCACTGAATGTCTTCATGTTCATCGTATACCACTTCGAGGAGATCTTCTTTAGGTCATTGTTTCTAATCCAATTGCATGTGAGGGGATTCAGTTCCCAACGGATCACTTCAATGATCCATTTCTTATCTAGTGTGCGTACCGTCTGAATAGACGTAAAACTTCGCGGGCGACTCATCATATCATATTATATTATATCTTAAAAGCAGGGAATCACCCAGGTCCGGGGGGGTCGGTGATCAACGAAGACACCTCCCCGGGACCCGTGTAAACGTACCTGCTGGGCTGTGGTGGCGCACCTGGGCGCATTTAAGTCGCAGCTGGTGGCCACCATAGCCCACACACACATATATATATATATATAATATTAATCTAACCTAATTGCATGTGAGGGGATTCAGTTCCCATCGGATCACTTCAATGATCCATTTCTTGTCTGGTGTGTGTAGGAGGGAACAGTGAGAGAAGAGTGTGTGTCGGAATCTTGGTGGGTGATAAAGCGTTGATATCTATGAGATTCTGTGATTTTCATTGATTTTCTATGAAATCTCTATGAAATGTCGTGGTTGTACAGAGTGCCGAGATATGCATAGTGTTTTGATAAAGCTTAAACGGTAAACGAAGACAGAAAAAGCTTCAGTTCCTGTTCTTGAGTTATGTCAAGTTGTCAAACCAACAAACTCCATATGCAATGTGTTTTCTGCGGGTGTGCTAGGAGGTTCTTCCGCTCTTGGGGTGAGTCCCAAAACAAACTGCCAAGTGGCACCTACAGGTCTCAACTTGGTTCAACCACACCCTCTGCAAAGCTTTCCCATATACCGGCGCGCCTGTGCAGTACGATCCCATCCGTCAGAGCAATGGATCTGGCAACGTGGCCAGTTCTGAGAAATAAAAGTTAAAAGTCTATTTGACGGTCATGCGCAAAACAACTGTATAGGGGAATATAAATTGTTTTTCTGACAGCGTGGTGCAGGCATTCGCGCCGTGTATTGCTTTGCACATCTTTGCACCAACACATGTCGCAAATGTTAAACAAAATGACACGCAAAAACATTGTGATGATGCAATCAGTCGGTCACAGGGCGGCCGGTTTTGCCATCAAACGCAGCGTATTTCGGATCAAGGCCTGATATTCAAGCCACATGGCGACCATGTGTAAAGTACATGATCAAAGCAAAATGTCCTGGCCAAGGTCAATCGAAGCTTTCACAGCAGGTACTTTTCTTTTGTTGACCTTGGCCCTTGGAGATGCTTATTATCAGGATCGCAGCCTGAAAATCCAGCATGCTCTGAGCATTGGGCAAATTGCCATACTCCACGTCGGTCTCAAGTCATCACCATGACGATCCAGTCTCTGAGTCAAAGCGCCCAAAGGTGCTTCTCAAAGGGTATTCTGACATCTTGAACCTGGGCATAGGGGTTCTGTAGGATCGAGCGTTTCGGGCAACTTGCACAATGAAGTCTTTCTTCTTGTGCCAACCTGAGACATCTCCAAGCTGCATCACATGTCGAAGCGTCGGACCAGATGTTTTCATCTCTTCTCCAGGCAAAGTCACATGCGCTGATTGCTTAACCTTCTTCACAGCTTTGGACTTTCCTTGCTTCACAAATGATGCATCATAGCTTGCACTCCATTCCCAATCCTTCAAGATGCAATGAAGATGTTCAACTTCCATCTCCTTCGTTCCACAGTCAGCCAGCATGTTTTGTGTGCTGGTCCAGCGAAGCGTTGTGTTGGGCTTCTGCAAAATCGCTGTCAACCAAGCAACTGTGAATGCAAGAGATTTCTGAGAACCATATGTGCTGGTGTCGCTGCTGCAACGATCATAGATATCTTTCGCATCTGTGACCACGGTCATCTCAACGCCTTTTGCCAAGCGTTCACCAAGCTTTCCAAGAACTTGAAACTTGAAGACCTCTAAATTCTGCTGCCAGACCACGGACAAACTGTCCGACATCAAATCCTTCTTCAGCTCCTAAAAGTTCCGCTCCATATGTCGAGCGGCAGAAGCGACCAATGCGGTGACTTCGACAGTCAATCATCGCAAATTTGCCAGTCTGACCATTGATCAACTTCTTTTCTCCAAGGAAAACCATGTATGCAGACTGTGAAAAGACACGCTCCAAGGGTTCTTCTCCTTGGCTGCCATCTTGACGCACGTTTCCAAGGGACGCATCTGTGACAACCATCACACCTGCATCTTCGAGATCAACTGGTTTGAAATGGAAGTGGAAATCTGAGTGCTCCTTGAAACGACGAACCAAGACATTCGCCTTCAACAAGGTGCTGATCTTCGGCTTCTCGCTCTGCAGAACTGAAAGTGCAAAGGCCTGATCAACGCAAACTTGCGCCACCAACCGCTGCAAGGAACCTAGCAAGCCACACAGCTGTTTCATTTCTGCAGGGGTCAAATCACTGTTGAGATCTTTCTTCCCATGGGCTGGGACAGGAACAGGTGACATGTTGGTGTGGTACTCCGGCATGGAGACAGTTATGGAGCCATCAGAATGCTGCTCCACAAACTTTCCGCAATACTGAAAACGACCTTCCTCAAGTGAACCAAAACCTAACTGCTTGCCAAGTTGATCCAAAATGGACACGGCTCGTTGACCTTCAAGCTCTCCATCTGGGCTCCAAAGGTATCAGCAGGCGTAATCCAACGCCGATCGACTCCAACCAAGCTCAGTCAAAGCTCTGTTGAGACGAAGATACCAATGGCGTGGTGAATCACTCAAACCAAAGATGCCTTTTCGGAGCCGTCCGATGCAGCCAGGGGCATAGGGAGAACTGTTTCACCAGGGCCAGCTTTCACCCGTTCTCCTCCTTGAAAGAGTTCCCCTTTGAGAAGGGCTGCCTTGATGTCAGCTGACTTCATTCTCCAACCTTTTCTATTGTTGCAGGCTGCATAGGTCAGGATCATGTGCTGGATGGTTCGTGATGCCGTCGGAGCATCCTTTCAAACACCAAAACTGTCAACATCTTTGTATCCTGGCACCACTATGCGGCTGATGCTTTGACTGGCAAGTCAGCACCATCCATCCGCAAACCATCATTCTTGTCGGTGAAGACCCCGAGGTTGCAGCAGGCGATGAAATTCGCCTTTGGCACGCAAGGAAGCTATGATTCGCTCTGAAGCCTCTTTGGACAAAACTTCAACTGCATCATTGTCTGTCCAAACCTCCCAGCCTTTCTTGGCAGCATCACGGAAGGCAGGCTTGTCGGAGTCTTTGATGGAGTTCCATCGGTACTCCCTTCGAGCCGCTTGTGCAGCTTGAATCTCATGGCAACCCATTGGCCTCATGAAGCTAAGTGCCTCAACGACTTCCCGGTCTGTTCTGGAAGGAAGCGGCCAACGACCGTCCCAACTGCCATGATCATGAAATATCATGAACTTTGTTTCCACCAGCCATATTGTCGAGCTCAGCCATAGCCTGAATCTTGATCAAAGGGTGACGCTGATCATTGGGATCATCGACAATGGCTTGAAGTTCTTCTCTGGTCATGGTCATGGTTTCATGTGGGGTTGCACTTGGGCTTCTGCTGCTGGGCGAACTTCCAGTCGGAACTGCAGGAACACTTGCAGCTGCTTGGGGACGTTCAGCTTCAAACAACGCATCAACTGGAACTTCGGCAGGGCGCTTGGAAGCTTCTGAGCCTAAGTCCAAATCCAAAGCTCTGCTTCATCCACCAACTGCCTCAAACGACCAGTAGAATCACGTCTGGTTTGCCTTGATCTTCTAATCAAATCTGAAATCGGAGTGCCTGGAGCTGCAGTCGCACCACCATCTGATACAGGCGCAACGCTCAACAAACTTGATCTTCGGGAACGGTCAACATTTGCAGGCACATGGCTGCCAGCCATCGAAGGTTGAAGAGCCGCCGCAATCTCTTGAAAGGGACTAGCCGCCAGAGGAGCTGACGGATTCCTCAACACCATCTGGTTGTAGGTGTTTTTCAGGAGGATCTCCTTGTCAGACTTCAGCACCTCGTTCAGTGAGATCATGTAGTGCGGCCTCAGCGGACTCTTCAATTGCATCCCGCCAAGTCTCGGCAGAGATCTGTTCAAGCGATGAGGCTGGACGAACATGTTCAAGTGCGCATTTTTTTATCCGACTTTAAAACTCACAAAAGCATTGGCATGACCTTCGAGAGCAATCAAAAGAGCAGGACCATGCCATCGTCGAAGCAGCAATTTGTGACGGGAATGGCTGGATCTGGGATTGTTCTTGCTCTCACGCCAAAAAAAGACGATCATGCCAGGTTCCAAGGTCTGGGACTGAGTAGAAGATCTTGATCTGGCCAATTCACCGTGCTGATTGCACGGGAAAAATGCAGTCTCAGCATAGCCACCTTCGCTGTCTCCCAAAGCAAGTCGGCGAGCAAGGTGAGGTACTTGATCAGCAAGTCCATGCTCTGCGAGGCGCTGGTGAAAGCCTCCAAGAACATCACCAAGCATTCGGGGCTGTTTGCCCAAAGCCGCTTGTGCGGAAGAAACACCCAAGTTCATTGATGTCGTGGTTGTAAGAGGTGACTGCTTCGGCCAGACTAGCTTCCATCTCTTCAAAATTTACAACTGAATGTTTCTGGACCAAAGTCGTCATGATGACTTTCAAGACACCACCACCACGTTCGCAAACACCATTCTGCCATGGAGCCTGAACTGCCGAGTGCCAGACCAGAATGGCATGTTCGCTGCAAAAGGATTCAAAGGCCGACGAGATGAATTCTCGACCTTGATCTGCCACTAGCACACGTGGAGGGCCAAGGATGGGCAGCCATTGCTCACGCAGGAACATGATGATCTCATCAGAGGATTTGTGCTTGAGCAACTTGGCCATCTGAAATCGAGTTACCCAATCAGTGGCATGGACAGCGTAGTACTTCCGGCCAAAGCTGTCAACGAGCTCTACAACATCGATGTGAACTTGATGACTCACATCGGGTAGCTTCGGAAGTGAAGCCGGCCTTCTGGATTTCGGAGGCCTTTTCTCATCACATAGAGCGCGCTTGTGATGTTTGGCAGCTTGGACAACTTCAGGAGGAGCACACGCCAACACCAAGGCCCGGGCTAATCGCGGATTGCTGCGATGCCCAGTGGCGTCATGAAGACGCTTCACGGCTGCTTTGACACCAGCCGACACCTTGACCTGCTTGTCTTCAATGAGCTCCTCCTCAGAGTCGGTGTCACCCCAAGGGTTGATAGCCTTGTTGGCATCTGGGTGATTGATGTCAAGAGGCTCCTCATCATCATCAACCACAAGAACTTCTTGAAGAGTGCGATGCTCACGAACAAACTGGGCCTCAACGCCATCCACCAAGGTCTTGGCGAGACCAGCAGGGTAAATTCCAGCCGCTGCAGTGGTCTTTGGGTCTCCAATCACGTGAGCATGTTGATAATCACCTTGGCAACGAACGAAGTCCATCGAGAGCCAAGGCAATCTCTTCACCAAATGTGGAAATACTGGTGGCTTTCTTGTGTGGAACCCCATGCACGTCTGTAAGTCCAGGACGGCACTGATCAAATCGAGCATCGAAGGCCGCTAAGTCCATCCATTTTCCAAAGACATCGCTGTTCCAACTCCGTGACCTCTGCGCTGAGCTTCTTTCATGACGTTTTTGGAAGAGGTGTAGATCTCGGAGATCAGCGGATTGGGAAATTCCATGGACACCAGCATGACTTCATTTTGAGCCTTCTGCATCTCATCTTGCCATTCTGCCTCCATGACGTCCAAGAGCTTTCTTGACGTGGTGGAGACCTTCTTGCGATCAGCAACATGCTGATCCCAGGCTTGTGAAATCAAAATGGCCTGGCCCTTCTTCAAATCTTGATGCAAAGTCCATGGATTGGGAGGTTGAAGAGGTTCTTCAGCTTCGGTCTGATTCAGCTCTCTCCCATGGAGGCATCGTGCCCGTTCATATAAGGCTCCCCGAGAGGCGCGCCCATTGGCTGTTGAGGAGGGTACGGCATCATGGCCACCAAGGTCTCTTGCACCATAGTCTTGAAGCGGGCCTCTTGGTCGATCATGAGGTTTGCCAATTGCTCCTGAGTGACGGTGGCTTTCAGGTCTGACACTTTGAGGCTTTCTGAACCTGAAGCTGCCGCCTGACTGGGTTGTGCAGCCTCTGGACTCGGCTTCACTGGAGGACATCGATGGTATCTTTACTGCCCACTTCCAAATGCAGCAAATGGGCAAGGCGAACCAGATCGGCTCGCAAATGAGTCAGACCGCCTTGAGGCCCCAGGAGACTTCTGACTGCCTCCTCCCGCTGACCTTTGGCCATGGCCAGCTGAGCCTCTTTCTTGGCCTCTTCTGACGTTTCTGCCGGAAGGCGTGGGGGGATCTTCTTGGAATCCCGGGCCAGCATCATGCCCTCCATCAAAGAATCTTCCAAGAATGCAAGGCGCCATCCGAGTCGATCTCGGATCCATCGGAGGTCCATCAGGTTCTTCACAGTGAAGGCATTGCTGGCCTTTGCCCTTGCCAAGTGTTTCTTTGACAAGGCCCCATTGCCCACCATCATGTCGGCTTGAGTAAGCCACTGCTCGACCTTCCCAACCGCAGGGTGTGGAAACGGCACGTTGCGCAGCAAAGGTCGCCGCACAAGCCAAAGCAAGAGCCCGAACAGGTGCCATCTTGCGCGAGCTTGGGTTCTTGCGCACATCCTTGCCCATGCAGCGTTGAAGGTGCGTCTAGACGGTGTCTTCCATGGTCAGTACACGCGCCTTTCAAAGATGCTGGCTCGGATTTCGAATTGTTTGAAATCGGCGGACGCTTCATCTGAGCCAAGGCCACATTGCAGTCTGCCATCTTCTCTGCATGCTCTGTGATCAAATGCTCATGGGATGGTTTCTCAACAACATGTACTGCTGCAAGCCGACGGTTCAACCATTCTTTGCTATCAACTTGAACTTCCAAAACACCATCAGCCCCTAACATTCCCCACTTCTCAGAACCCGGCCTCGGCCATTTCGAAGGGATGAGTTGAAGGGCAAAGTGACCTGCCATGAGCTGCCGAAGTCGGATGAGTGAACCGCAAAGGTGATCGGCTCGAAGCAGCTTTCGTGCAAAACTCAAAACTGCTTCAATCCCATCCAAGAAATCTCTTCCAAGTAGCAAACCCAATGACGGCACTTCCACCACAGACACCCAAATGCAAATCAAAGTCTGACCCACCATGACTGGAAGTCGCCAGCGCCTGGTGGAGATCTGGGTGCCGCCGTTGCCAAACCTGAAGGTCTCTTTCTCCGAAGTGGAGTGGACCAGCGACTGAATGTAGCTGGGGTCCGCACGCAACGCAGTCAAGTAGCCAGCAAGCCATGAAGTGCCAGTGCAAGCTCTGTTGCAAACTGAATCCAAAGCACCTACCAACTGCTTGTCTGACGTGAGTTGAACACCACCTGAAACTTAATTGAACTTCATGTGATGAATCAATCGCCTCTTCCAGCAACATCGGGGGACATGAAACTTCAGCCATCTGGACCTCATGTGCGGCGGGGTTCTCACGGTTCATGTCATCAGGGATAAACCCAGTCACTTCGGTGGCATGCTCAGCCAATTTCACCTGTTTGGCCTTCTTTCGAGGAGGCAAGAAAAGACCGGCACCGGGCTTGCTGCACTGTGGATCGCCCAGCCAATGGCCTGTCTGGCCACAGTCCCAACATGGATGATTGGCATCTTGCTTACGTGCTGCAGCTATGTTGCCAGTTGCTTTCCCCTTGTACATATGTTGCCACGATCTTTGCGGACATCGTTCAACTTTTGCCGTGCTTCTCTCATCGTCAAAAGGCTCTCGGCAGCACGCTCAAAACTCCATCTCAGCAAGGACTTCCTGAGACTCCTTCCTCTTCAGCATCATGAAGTTCACTAGCCAAAACTTCAACCTCTGATGGCAAAACCTCTTCAAGGCTCGGAGTTGCAGCTTCCTCAGCTTCATCTGGAACAAGCTCCTCTTCATCCTCTGCAGCAGCTTCATCAAACTGCTCTGTCACAAGGGATTGTCTCGGAGGAGTCGACAACGTTCCTGGCTTTTTGAACCTGGAAGAAACCCTGGACGATGCGCTCGACTTGAATGATCCTGGACATGAAAATGATGAAGAACCGCTGAACGTCATTGGGGGCCGAGAAATACTCGAATGGCTGGATGCAGATTGACCTGAAAGGAACCGATGCAGCAAAGGTGATCGCTGATCCATCTGCCTCCGATACAAAGGATCCGCTGTGTGCAGGTCTCGGAAAAGACGAAGACATTCCGCCTCCACCTCCTCGTATGACTCTCGTCCAGCCAGCGCTGTCTCTAACAACTGTTTTCGCAAAGGATCCAAGCCAAGTCGCTCCCGAAGGAACCAACCAAGTTCCTCCCGAGGGAGGTCAATCCCTTCACGCTTCATCTCACCGCAGAGTGTCCTAAAGCGACTGCAAAACGTTGCAATCCGTTCTTGAGGTTGCCGTTTCATCTCCTGATGAAACTGAGCACGCAAATCGCCCTTTCTGTCAAGGTCAGTTGCACCATGAAGGGACTGTAAGGAATCCATCAACTTCATCAAGCCAGAAAAGGGGTCACCTTCTCCCACAATCACAAGCTCGCCTGACTCTCGATCTAAGGCAATCTAAGGCCTTCACTTCAGCTTTGCCCTCAAGCTTGCTAGGATCAAATTCCTCAGAACGAGCACGGACAACACCAGTTTGCCTCAGCATCCATTGTGCCGCAATATTGAACTTCTTGCAGCTTTCTCTGTCCAGAGATGCAACCCACCAGCTCATCTCACGTTTGAAGCTTCGCCATTCCTTCGGGCTTCCATCCCACACTGGGACGCGAAGCCAGGAGCTCGTGCCCTTCTCTTCTTCCGTCATGTCAGTCACGCAGCAACTCGACACGCAAAATCAAATCCAGGCAATGCAAAAATGTGACGCTGTTGTGATACTGTAGCTCTTGAAACACGTGTTGAATTCCAGCCCTGATCACAAAGTATTTCTTTTAGAAACCTTTCCAACCAAGTCTGTTATCTGCAGTCCGCTTCAGTCCTAACACCGCTGGTGACAAGCAACCGAAGAGGCAGAGATGCAGATCCAATGCAAAAGAGAGACCCAAGCGCGGAGCAACGCAATGCGGATTCCCTGGACCAAATGTACGGCTCCGGTGCCACTGTGATGATGCAATCAGTCGGTCACAAGGCGGCCGGTTTTGCCATCAAACGCAGCGTATTTCGGATCAAGGCCTGATATTCAAGCCAAATGGCGACCATGTGTAAAGTACATGATCAAAGCAAAATGTCCTGGCCAAGGTCAATCGAAGCTTTCACAAACATCAATGGCAATCAAAAAATAGCGCAGCTTCACAGCACCAATGGACACGATACGCTACATAGAGATGTTGAGCTACATCGGCGTTACAATGCATTGCGCTGCGTGTGGCAAATCAAATCATTCACTCTTTCTCGATGTGCTGTCGTGGTTTAAAATCGACTTTGGTTTTGGCCAAGATACTCTGGAAAGAGCCGCAAAATGATGCAAGAAACACACTAGCTTGGCAACATGTTCGTAACATCATGAAAAATCAATTTAGCATAATTTGCCATAGTATGCCATAGTGTTTGGAACATGTCATACTATGCCATACTATGCCATACTTACACACGCTTTGGACTTAGGCACGCCTGAGAGTTGGACGGAGTTTGTGTTTGAAATTTGTCCAACTTTGTCATCTGGTTTGCAGTGGCAGGGTGTGGCAGTGCAAGGTCGGGAGCGCCTCGGCGCTACGATCTGCTTGGGCACGGCGACACCCCTGCTTGTTTGAAACAAATTGTATCCGGCACTTCCCTGCGCAAATGGAGGCCTTCGCACACACACACACACAGCACACGTTACACGCTTACACTATCTTACACTTACATTTGCACTCAGACTTACGCCTGCGCTTGCACACACACACACACAACAACAGTGGCAGGGTGATCAGCCTTCCAGTGACCCAAGGAAGGAAGCTCGCTGGAAGAGAAGCGGAAGTGGTAAAGGTCCAAGCAAACCGATCAACAAACCGAACATGCCGGTCTCAACGTCTCAACGAGCGAGGAATATTCATTCCATGTCATTTCATCGTGCCTTCAGGCTGTTCCTGTGCTTGTGTGTGTGTTCGTTCCTGTGGTGCTCCCATATCTAGGCTGGCCGCAGAGTGACATGGAAGGATGAAACTGCTGATTCATTGATGGGCGCTGTGGAAAGCAATACTGCAAAAGTCTGCAAAGATTAAGAATGCAGGGCATTGAAGCCAGCCCTTGACGCTTACTGAGTGCGGTCATACCTTGAAGGCTTGGATCCGTCCTCAAACACCGAAAGCCAACTTAGTCAAGGAAGTACCCAAAGCACTAGTGTCACATAGTGTCAAAACTATAGCAAAACTATATCTCAGACCATAATGCCTGTAGCTGGACTTTTCACTGGCTACGCAGGCTACGCAGGCTAACTCGTCCCACCCTTGCGAGGCGCTACTTTTCACATTTTTCCTACATGTTTTGAAAAATACATATATCATATATATATATATACACGTGTATATATAATATGATGATATTATATACATACTAACTATACATACAGTAGATAGTGAAACTATAATTATCATCATGAACCCATTCTTACTGAAGTTCTGACCATGCCAGACTTTTGGCTGGGAAATCAAATTACTTTTGACTGGCAAATCAAATTGCTGACCACGGCACGCATTTCATGTTTCCAATTTGTTTCTGTTCATGCTGCGGAAGTGTTTCGATAAGAAAAAACATATCTGAATGCGATGTAGGTGTATCCTTACATGGCAAAAAAAGCATAGGCATAGCGTGAATGGCCTCTTGGCTTTAAAAACATCTTGTGAACTGAGGCATCTTAAAAAAACGTGCTGGGATGACAGCAAGTCAGCAACTGCCTTTAAATAAGGAAGCCGTTGACCAGACCATTCTGAATGAGAACGTCCAAGAGCGCACAAATGGCAAACATGTCCGAAACATTCCGAAACATTCCGAAACACATGCCAGTTCACATTGCCTCCAACAGTATTGCATCAAACGCAACAAAAGGAACGCGCAACACTGGAAGTCACACAAACAGCACAGTCAGTCGCATGTGGCTCAGTGTAATCGTGAAGGGAAGACCACGACATTTGCCTTGAAGTTGAGGACTTCTGTGACAACTTTCAACCTAAGATGACATTACAATGACTTGGCCGCAACAATTTTGTGAAGGAGCACCTAAAAGATCCTAAAAGGTTCACATTCGGACATAGCTGGCTCGACATTGGCCGCAACAAATTTGCCAAACGGCCAAAATATGCTTTCTATTGCTTTCTCAATCCCACCCCCCTAATATTAGCCCGTGTGGAAATCCCTACTCAACCATTGTTTCGGGGGGTGCTTAATATTAGCGGGCTGGGATTAACTACAAAGACTGACCTTCCAGTGAAGACAACTGTCTACTAAAACCACCTCCAGCAACCCCCTGAACTGATTGCTGACCTTGCATCGGCCTACAGCACTGGCAGAGTACTGGAATTCCATTGATCGTGCAGCAGATTCCGCTCATATGACGCATCTTCAACTGGGGCCACTTGGGGGAATGGATTGCTTCCAGGAAACGTGCATGAAAGGATGGCTCCGATGTAGTCGTACCTGAAACGGCATGGCAACGTTTTGCATCGTTGTGCGCCGGTTCCTCATGGTACAGATCTTATGAACAACTTGCCCGGAACCATCGCACCATCCGGAGCTTGCCACATCTTTCATCCACGAACCCACCTGCAATTTGGGCGAGGCAACAATTTTGCGAGCACCTATGGAATGGAATGCGCGTGACTAACTTTCCAAAGGGTTTCAAACATCATCTAGGGAAAAACTTGTTTGATCTTGCTGGGCAACTTGAGACAGATCATTACAGATTGATTGGGTGCATCCAATACAAATCTTTTCCTGGGCATTGTGGTTGCACAGGAGCCATGAAAGGCTGATCCAAATCATACCTCAAAAGGTAAAGCTTCACAGCACAAGAATACCCAGCCAAAAAAAGTGAATTGGCTAACTCATGTTCACATGATTTCACATGCAGGCTTTGATTTCGCAAGACTGTGTCTTGTGGATGGCCAGTTATTTCGTCAATTGACGGAACAACCTGTGGTTGCCATGGCTGCTGTTGCTACTGTTGCTGCGTTGCCGTTGTGAATCTTGTGAGCAACGTCCTTCCGGCGGCGGTGGTAGCAGTAGTAATAGCAGTACTAAGTAATTAGGAGCAGGAGTAGGGGTAAGGGTAGTGGCTAGTAGTCGTAGTAGTCGTAGTAGTCGTAGTAATATAGGAATACTGTAGGGCCAACTTGGCCAACGTCAGAATCAAAGATGGGAGTCAATCGTGGTTGACTCGGTGTGTGGTGGCTCTGTCATTGGGTGACCTCGTCTAGTCCCAGGGGAGTGGTAGTGGCAGGAGCAGTAAGTAGTAGCAGTAGCAGGAGGACGCGTCATCGTTACGCCCGTTGATCTCTTTTTTTGATGTTTTTTGCTGATGCTGCACGGGTGCTTTCAAAAGTTTCTCTGTGGGTCGTGCTGAATGTTTGTGGATTCATTGCAAACATCATCAAACATCTAGATAACCTGATCATACCTGATCCATAAAGAATCCACACCAGGTCATGGTCTCCGAGCTAGCGCCTAGCTTTGTAGTCAGGATGTACTTTGTGAAAGCCCAATGAATCCAGTAGCAACAACGAAAACTTTCAAGTGATCTTGGGGTTCCAGTCCAGAGCTTTGCTTGATCCCCTTGAGTTTCACAATCATTTCTGCCAGTCCCCACCTGTGTATCAACCAAGCGCGCCACTGCGCTGCCCATCGCTCTCCATGCATCTCGGACCACGTGGATGTTGTCGATGCCTAGATCTCACTGTCAAAAAAGGCCAAGCAGCCAATTTACCGTCAATCGACCGAAAAAAAATCGCGATTTGATAAGCTTTCAATGCTTGACGCATCTCAAAACAGCCAAGATGTCCATGCATTGATGCTGCCCTGCCTCCCCAAATCATCCGGCATTGGGGATATGATTCAAAGCCACCCCCACCTGCCTCAGCGACTTTACTGTCATGACTTGTCCAACTTGTCATATAGGGGCGCATATCTCACGGCTGATTCGTTTGCAAGATGCTGGCGGTGTGCACTTTTGAAGCTCAAGTATGGTTCCAGCCAGAAGCACTTCTACCCGATTCTACCCTTCCACTTTGTGATCTCACCTGCCTTATTCACCCAAGCGCTCACTTTGGGCCTCGGAAGAACGCTCATCCCCAGGGCTAAAGTTGCCAGTCGCTAATAATCACATGGTTGTCATACGTCTGTCACTTGTTTGTCGTGTGCCCCCCTGTGCCTTTCCTTACCGTTTCAAATTATTCCCAAACATGCCAAAAACACATTTTGAATGAGGTCGCGCGCACACCAAAGCCCTACAAGTACTAAGGAAAAACTACCTCAATTCAGGCTGGTTCATCGAAGGAACTCAGCAAAATGTTTGTGGTGCGTTCACCAGGGCACAGGTCACAACTGCTATATTCGCCCTTGGTAACTAGATATTCCCCGCCTCAAGTCGATACAAAGCAGATCGCGTTCAGAGCTACCGTTGCCAAGGCCTTGCGCATTGGATGCTTGATACAATTTTGCAAATCCAATTCCACATGCTTTGGGGATGAAAGCGCGCCGGGAAGAATACAGGCACATGCAATTCGTCTAATAGGGCCCAATAAATCTCAATGACTACAGCTTGCGCTTGCTTGAAGCACCTGCTTGAAGCACCTGAAGCACCACCAAGAGTTGCAAAATGAATGCTTCTTTCATCTTTGCTGCAACTGAGTTGCGGATTGCATTCAGCATTGACTGGTCCTCGCACATGCCGAAAACGCAAATCCCGCTGACCGAATTGTAGAATCTTGTCAAGCCATTACCCGCATTTTCATTTCAAGACTTGATCAACAACACATTCGGACACATTTTTGCAGGCGCCACCTGGTTTTGCACACGGTTCTTCAATGGAATTTTGCACTACCAGATACTACCAGTGTCTGAACTGCTGACCAGTCTTCTGTCAAGAAATACTCAGACAAACCTGAAAGGCTTTCCAAGACACTGGAGTTGCATTGTTACAACGATTCTTATAAGGGACAGCTTGTTGGAAAGTGGAGTTTTTCATATTCAAACAAATGTTCGCGTGTCGTACTCATATTGAATTTGTTTCATGCCATGGATATAGCCAGTGAGGTAAGTTCTAGAACTGGCCCCCGGCCCCATACATTCAAAGGCCCCCCAAAAAAAACAAGAACGCAAAACATGTTTGGGGGACAGATTGTCGCGGCCCAAACAATATCCAAAAAATATTTTTGGGTGCTTTTCTGCTGCATTGCATGGTCAGGATGCAAAAAAGTATCTAATGAACAAAAAAGGTTCGCTGTGAATCTCAATATCAGCCTCGAAGATCTGCGGATATATATATATATATCTTAGATGAAGCGCTCACCACAAACCTTTCAGTTTCTTCATGCGCTCCGCCCGCCCTTTTTTCGCGTCCTCTACACACTTCGTGCCAATCAAACCCGTTAAGCCTTCCGTTGTCCTGGGCATGGCTGCTCAATGCTCACGTTGAAATTTTCAAAATGACAGCCGACAGCCGGGTCGCTGTGAGCAACGCCACAATGATGCAAAGGACAGCTCGGGACCACCTCAGACGGGGACACGAAGGAATTTTGGTCGCTGGTGGCGGTTCGAGTTTTACGACAAGGCACGTCTGACATGCGCAATGCATCATTCTTGGACAGAATCTAAAAGAAATATTGATAGAGTGATAGGCTTCTGAGTTCCCCAGTGTGGTTCTGGAATCCTTCAAATAATTATCTGGTGCCAAAGTGACCAAACTAAAGGCAAAAACGAACAGTAAATGAATAGCGCGCGAAAAAGAACACACAACTGCTCAGCTGCACAGCAGCGATTTTTCGCTTTTACATAATTTCATAATTAGATATGTTTAGCTCAGAGACCCCAATCCTGCGTGCCTTGCCTTCCAATACGCCCAGCATAGCCCAACACAGGCCCAACACAGGCCCAACATGGCCCCAACATGGCCCCAACAGGCCCCAAGACCGTGGGCTCATTGAGGCTCTCAAATCAAGGCTGCAATGGGACGCCCGTTTTGGACTAACAAGAGCCTAACATAGACCCAACATAGACCCAACATAGGCCCAGCATAGCCCCACATGACCCCAAAACGCAAGGCTTTAAAAGAACATGCCGTTCTTGGCCCATCATGCAATCAACATAGCCCACAACCGTGTGTTCATTGAAGCGCTTAAATTTAGGCTCAAATGAGCACCCCGTTTATGGGCCAACAAAAGCCCAACAACAACATAGCAACTTTACCTGCTTCAAATTGACTAATTATTAGTTTTGCTTCCATTTTTTCACGATGTCACTCAATCATTTGGCTGAAGGCCTGTCCGATAGGGGGCCCGCAGCCTTATTGGATTGCAGCGCGTGCTGCCTCTGCAAAGATGGTGGTCCTTGCAACGCGATTCATCTTTTTCGTTGTTGCCCCTGATCTCAAACAAACCCACTCCAGGGCCACCATGGAAAAGGTTGTTACAATGGGGCTGGACTAGCTCAATTAGGTTACTTATGGTTACTTTTACATTTCAGCCTTCCCAGCCGTCGCTTTTCAAACCGATGGGAACTTTGGGAATCCTGAAATCTGAATCAATCTGAATCACGTCAAATTCAAAGCCGGCTCATGCATCCTGACGCTGGTCATGAGACGCGAGCCGCGTTGCCGACCCAGCTTTGCGAGATGATTAAAAGGCTCTTTCGCCACCGTCGGTCCCCGTGGAATTCTTGGCTCACCCAAAAACAACTTGCTAAGACAACGCATCTTTCACGTAGGTGAAGAAACATTAGCATATCAAAAAGCTGGCAAAAAGTGTGCACAAGTTGCAAGCTCAAGAAAACGTTGATACAACAGTTGACCCAAAAGTTCAAGCTCCGAAAAAGAAAAATACAAAAGTTCAAGGTTCAAAAAAAGGATGCAAAGCTCAAGGTTCAAACAAATAGACACAAAAGTTCAACGGTGCAGAAAAGCTGGCACAAAAATGCAAACAAAGTCGGACCAAACATCAACAGAACATCCAAACCATCGAATAAACATCGACCAAACGTCCCAAAAACACCAAGAAAACATTGACCAGACAGTGCCAAAACGATGTTAGCTGTGTATATAAGCCGGTGGAACTTTGAATTAATTTATTTTGTCATAATTCTTGGCTGGAAGCGGCAAGAGAAACAAATTTCTCTCTGGCAGTCTTAATAAACTTGGGCCAGTAGGACACCGGCCATACCCAAGACATCATGGTTCACCTAATGCCCGAAATCATCCGACATCTGCCAGTTTCTGGCGCCGTTTATCCGCATGTCCTCGGTTGATTTCTCAACCAAGCAACCGCACATGCCTTACTTTTCCGAAAGCCAAAGAACCTTGCGTCAGAATTTCCCTTCTTGAACACGCCCTTCGCACCCACGGCAACTTGCAAATCTACAGCGCCTGGTGCTGGCTCAGCTCCTCCCCCAAATGCACCCCCAACCACGGACATTTGCAACAAAGCTGCCAGACACAAAGCCAACATCAAATGCCCCTCTACGCCATGGTTTCCGCCGCATATGCGCTACGCATATGTGCTGTGGCGCACACGGGCAATTCAGAAGAAGCAAAGCGTAGAGTCTCTACGCTTTGCAGTAAACTTATATGAGCCTAGTGTAGTGTAGTAAAACATAGTAAAACCTTAGTACTACAGTACGGTGTGTTGGTGTTTCTTGGGAGCCCATGCCACACCAACTCATGGCTGGCAGCCGCCCGCGCTTCCTGCGGCTTGACAGAGTCAGAGACATCTGTCCAGAGTTGAGTATGAACAAACGAGCAGAAGAAAAGAATAAAAAGGAAGCAAATCAAAAACATTTCTGCTCACAATTTGTCTCGAAAGTTTTGGCACTCTCCACCGTTTTTTACCATCTGCGGACTGCTGTACTCACTCAGGCTATGTGACGCAGATGTCTGTTTGATTCATCACTTCATGTACATGTCTTCTACTTAGATTCAATGTCCAGACTTGATTGAAGTGCAACGCTTTTCTGCCTGAATGCCGCCACATCTCTAAGAGCCTCGCAGGGACTCTGATGGACTCTGCAGGCTCTTTATCTTTGAATCTGTTTATATCTTTTTGATACTCTACTTCAGGAACCTTCAGGCCTTGTGGATGTTGCTTGACCGCTCATATTGGACGTGGCTCTCATGAAAGTGGTTCGTGCTTCCAAACCACATCTAGCGTCTTAGTCCTGAGACATCTATGGGACACCATATGACACCATCATGATACACATCCGCCCACAAGCAACATGCTGTATGGAAAGCAAAGCTCCCACTGATGGCAATTCAAGCGTTGGAATTTCCTCTTTTCAATTCTTTTCATGTTTGAAAGAACAATCCAAATATACACCCTTATGTCCCTTATGAATCATGCCTATATTTTGCGCTCAATGCAGATACCACTATTCAAACCGGTGATTTTAAAGGCACAGCATTCAATGAGCTATATCGACTGTACCCCTTTGATCAGGCTGGAAACTGACTAGGAATGACTAATGACTAGCCTTACTTCGCTCGGAAATGCTTCGTAGCACATGATGCTCATGGTGGGCTCCACCGTCTGGAAATGGCGAATCTCTCCAGCTTGAAGAGTGAAGAGATGTGAAGAGGCTACTTTTTTGGCGAATTTTGTGAAGGTCCTTCAATGTCCATCACATCCAAGACTCCAAGAAAGGTGAATTCTGGCACAAGCAGAATGCACCAAACAATCTCGAACATTCAATCCACATGTCCACATGTAAAGTTTAGCGAATCATGATATTGCCAGACATGATAGACATGTGCAAATATAATCAAATAATCCCTTCCTCCTAATACTAAACGTCCCCCTAATACTAAAAACAGGCATCCATCTCCAATTTCCGAAAATTTCAGTTTGGCCAATTTGACTTTTAATTGATCCCCTTTAAAAAACAATTTAAAAATCAACCTACCATTTGTGGGTTCTCCCCCCTAATACTAAAAACTAGTTCACCCCGGGGTGTTTAGTATTAGGGGGGCCTAGTCCCAATCCCTCACTCCAAGCTGCCTGGCTACTCTAGCAATTAGGGGTAAGCTTCGAACTGCCATTTTTGGCAATATTTTAATTGCGTTATATAAGGAAATTTAATTGATTTTGAGATCGGAAAAAATAGTTTTTAGTATTAAGGGTTTTAATTTAGTATTAGGGGTAAGCTTCGAACTGCCATTTTTGGCAATATTTTAATTGCGTTATATAAGGAAATTTAATTGATTTTGAGATCGGAAAAAATAGTTTTTAGTATTAAGGGTTTTAATTTAGTATTAGGGGTAAGCTTCGAACTGCCATTTTTGGCAATATTTTAATTGCGTTATATAAGGAAATTTAATTGATTTTGAGATCGGAAAAAATAGTTTTTAGTATTAAGGGTTTTAATTTAGTATTAGGGGTAAGCTTCGAACTGCCATTTTTGGCAATATTTTAATTGCGTTATATAAGGAAATTTAATTGATTTTGAGATCGGAAAAAATGGTTTTTATTATTAAGGGTTTTAATTTAGTATTAGGGGTAAGCTTCGAACTGCCATTTTTGGCAATATATTGGTTCCCTAATAATAAATACCCCCCTAATACTAAAAACTACCTGCCGTGTTTTGTATTAGGGGGGGGGGGGGGGGGGGTGAAGAGGGGCCCTAGCGTCTACTTCAAGATCAGCTAAGGCGTCTTCCCCAATGACAGCACTCTTTTACTCTCAGCCTGTTGCCGGTCAGTGCTTGTCCACAGGGTTACTCTATATACCTCTTGAGCCTTGAGGGGCGCATATAAATGTGCTCAATACTCATGCATGTACCTCTGTAGGTATTAGGTCGAAACAAAAACACAGGCACAAATTCAAAAGCAATGAGTAGCACTACGCCTTGTCGTACCCAATTGGTATTAAGAGTATCTTCCTGTATTCTCTACACAATGGCAAATAGCAAAAACCGGAGTTACGCAGTGGCTTCGAATTGAAAAACACGTGAAAGCAGCGAATGTCCTAAGGACATGTCGAAAAAGAACAGCGGATTCGCTAATTTTTCCAGTAGCGACCAATGGTGCTTCGCGCACGGTCTCTCCACAGGCAAAATGCCTCGCTCTACCGGTGAAAGTTCGAATTGAAAAGTTCGAATTGAAAAGTTCGGGTTCGCAAGATTCAGAAATTCAGGTCATACGAAAACAATTGACCAAATCACGAAATAAACGGAAATAGCGGATCTCCAAAGTTGCTCATTCAAGCAAACAATGGACTGAAATCGAAGTTGGTAAATTTTGAAGTTCGCTCCATTCGGAGTGGTCTGCTCGCCGGATGATTCATGGAGATAAATGTATATAGTATCTCTATTTACAAGAGTATCTATTTTACATTAAATTGAAGTTCAGACACTTGTGGCATTATCTCTATCTAAAAGAGTATATGCCATCTGTGTGAAATAAGTTGAACGCACAGAAAAACTGTACACGGCTTCTCATGCTGTGTTATCTTCAATTAAAGAAGTGTACACTCACTCATCGCCACTCACTTGATCTCCATGGTTTGGACGCTGAAGATGAGGATCCACCCCACTCTGTGTTGCCCTGATACGTCGATGCTTGATCTTCATATGCCTTTCTCTTTTTCTCCTTCTGTCTTTCCTTTCTTGAATCAGCATATTGCTTCTTCTTGTAGGCCTGTTTGTAATGATGTCGTTCAATTCAGGACATATCAGAAGGATCAAGATGGATAAGAATTGGATTATGAGCATCGCGATCATTTGGAGCAACCATGAAGATGTTGTGATCACCATGTAAGCAAGTTCCATTTACCTTGAAGTAAAATTCACCCACATAGTTCATGTGATCTTCATCCTCAAAGTCTTCTGGGTGTTCCTCACACATCAAACGTGAATGACCCCACTCAACAACTGTTAACATACAACAATCACCTTTACCAGTTGTCTTCTTCATGATCTCGTCGGTGTATGTTGCTGTTGTAATGCCATCCAAGTGCGTTGCAAGAAAATCCAAGTCACGATAACTGCAAGAAATGAAATGCTTGACCCTGATTGGAGGGCAAGTTGGATCAAAATTCTTGCGCATGGCTTGTGTTGCAACACCTACCATTCTGTTAATCCAGAATTGGATAAGGCTGTGTTGATATGTAGGGACACCTGGAGATTTTGGGGTGCTGTAATAGCATGCCTTGTTTCCATCACCTGCGATGAAGTCAACTTGATATCTGGCACACTCAAAAGCCATAACAGCTAAGCACTCACCAACAATCCCAGCAGAGTCTGATGCATCCTTCTGTCCGACGTGATAAACGCACACACGTGTCATTCTCATCCTAGCTCTTGTCAAGTCAACAATCTCATCTGTATCTCGATCCCTTGTCTTTCCCCAAGATACTTCAAAGATTGCCCATGAGACTTGTCGAACTCGTGTGTCGTTGTCATCTGTGTGATATCCAGCAATTTGCTTGATATAGCCATCCTTTCCAAGGCGAGCTGCCACCATCAAGTCATGATAGTCATTGAAGCAAGTTTTAAAGTCAACCTCGTCGAGTCTTTCTCTGTGAGGATACAACGAACCAGCCTCGCAATTCATGAAAAGATGTCCTCCAAAGTTCTTGATGACAGTGATGAAGTAATTGTTGAACTGTGATTTGGTTTCATCAAATTTTTCATGATCCTCATCGATAGTGTAGTCAATGTGTGGAATGAATTGTTGAAATCTTTCTGGAACCGGGCATTTTTCAAATCTGTTTCTGCACCAGTTTCCCAAATTCCAAAACATTGCTGTTATCTGTGGAGAGGATCTGTATGGAAATTCAGCATCCTTGTACGTTGGGTCTGATAGGCCTCCACCTAAGTACCTGTAAGCCAAGCTATGCAAGATCATACAGTAAGGCAAGACCTTGTGTTCCTCAACGTAATCTTGGAGTACCTTTGTGAGATTTCCAAAATCGTCATCAATCCTCTGTTCTGCTTCTTTTGAGGATCTTTCTGCTTTGTTTTGATGAAGAGGATGCATCCTTGGATCACTACAACCATATTCAATGCGCTGATTAAGTTCTTGTAATTCTAGTTGTGGATCCTGATTCTTGTGTCTGGCAATGTACTCAACCATCAACTGGTCATCTGTAAGATGGTACCAAAAATCATGATGTGGAGACATGGTCTTCCTGTACTTAACATGCCAAAACATATGTCGATGCTTCGAAGACGCTGGATAACCTTTGTTGTAAAAATCCTGCCCATTCACCATGGTAACCATCTGAAAAACAATCCTTCAATTTTCGAAAAACTGAATCATCTTCGTTTCCAGTGATATCTTGACCATAGTAAAATCGAACTGCAGGTTTCACTTCAGGAGCTGTCTCATCATCTTGAATGTCTGTCTTCTTCTCCCCTGATTCCTCCTTTTCTGAGGAGCGTTCAGGTGGAGCTGATTCCTCTTTCTCTGAAGAGCCTTCAGCTGGGACATGTGGCTCCTGTGTCTTTTTCTTCTTCTTTTTCTTCGTCAGCAATCTTCTCTTCTTCATCCTTTTCTTTCTCTTGTCCTTCTTCTGGTTTGACAAAACTTTCCTTGATCTTTTGTTGAACATTCTGATTGCACATACTGATCCATTTCAATGTACACTCAACCAATTTGTCATCATCAGTTTCCAAAATGATATGTTTGTCCTCAATGTTCAAACTTTCAATGGTATGCTTGTACTCAGGATCACCTGCGCCTGGTCTTTGAAG